AAGTCTGTAATAGCAAGTAAGTAAAGCTGTAATAGCGGAGTAGTGCCGGGAATTTTAAGAAAAGAAAGAGAACAAAGGGGTTGCCACTTGGGACCATCATTCCCTCTGCTCTCTGCTCCAGCGCTGTTGACCATCCGAAGCAAGCCAGTGTAATCTTGGCCCATTCAGTACAACGCGAGAAGTTCCGCATCATCGCTTGCAAAAGTCCAACCCACAAATGTTATGGTCCACAGTCGGCGGTCGGAGGAGACGGACGAATCGAAATTGTTCAGTACCACGGGTCAGGAGGACAGTGTAAGTGACGTCATCGCTTACCTTCAGAATCTTTTCAGTTAGTTGGGGAGTGTGCTAAAATCACCTTTCTAGCGTGTCTCGTTCGCTCTTCACGACCTCACTGGGCCAGTTGTAAGCAGTCGTCAAGAAAGGGAATTAATGGAGTATATGGACGTCGATAACCTCGAGTCAGAAGCTTTAACTTTTCCTCCTCTCGAAAATCATAAAATTTAATATTTGAATGTACAGCTTCGACGTGGCTAGACGTCATGCTCCCAAGGATAACGAACAAACCTACACTGGAACTATACAAGACGTAATTTTCTGCTCATTAGTCGAAGCAAAGGGCAAAAAAATGACCCAGAACGTCCCAAACATGACCATTCTTTGTGCAGTTGATAATGAGCAACGTAAGAACATACAGCCGAGGAGTTACTGAGCGCGCAGCAGAGAGACCAGGCAGCGAAATAGCCAGAGAAAGACCAGAGACCGCATCGTGATGCCCAGGTTGCAAAGTGGGTGGCAAAATGTAGTGATCGAAGAAGCTCCGGAGGAGGTGTTCCGGCGGACGTGTGGTTTGGCGTGGTGCCAGTATTTCACTAATCGTTATATCGTTTACCGAATTGGACGGCAGTCATCGATTGGGCCAGGAAATAGGCTGGCGCCGCGCAAAAACTTACGTAAGTAGGGACGCTTTAACTGGACACTCCGATAACTACTGTATGCCCTTGGGTGAAGGCCTAAAATATCAGACTACAGGCCTCTGTTACGGATTTGTTAGAACCGAAAGTGAAAGTGGGACTCGGGACGGTGAACACCCTGTGGGCTGGGGCAAATATAACAGAAAAAAAAACTCAGCCACTCAAAATTATCTTGACAGGTGTTGCTTTAGACACACACTGGTGAAAAAAACTAAAAGACTGGCTAGAATCCAGAGGGAGGAGTATATGACCCTGCAGTCTTAACCAGCGCGGAGGTACTATGCTCTGAAAAGACCTCTCCAATCTAGAGACACATTGTTTGAACGGTCCTCGTATCTATGAGAACTACGTGTTGCATTCGATCTGTGTAAAACCATCCTTTGTCAGTTCCATCTCCTAGCATGCCTGGAATGGGGTGAAAGAGGCACTAAAAACATGGAATCATTTTACAGACTGGACGCAGATGTCATCTTCTCAATTGCGATCTGTTCCCTATCATCGAAAAAGTACGCCCCAACGCCCTTCGCTCCGCGCCGTGATGAATCACAACGAGTGGTGTACGCGTAGTTAAATATGGTTCAAAACGTATTGTGTGGAATAATAGGCCAGTCAAATGATGAGGCAGCATGACGTTTTTGTGCATTCAACAGGGAGATATGTAGGGATACGACGAGACCCTGAGGGGCGAATGGAAAAAGTAGGAAAGGCCGGCGCAGTTTATCGACGGGGGGGGCATTTTGCTTTCCATAGATGTGTCGACCCATCTAGGTAGCGTTTTCTTGAGTTGACACGTTTTGGGATGGTGGCTAGACGATCCTGCTCCAGCTTTACAAGCATTCAAAAGTTTTTCGCAAAAAGTGAAATTGCAAACCGGAGCAAGGAACAGTGATAGATAAAATGGCCCCCCCCCCGTCGATAAACAGCGCCGGAAAGGCCTGGGTATGGTCATATCTGAATAGACAACTGGTATTGTGGTGATAGAAGTGAAGTCATAAAGCGCCTCAAGGGCCCTGAACCTTTACTCAAAGGGGTCTTGTTTGGCAGTTGCACAAAGGAGCTTCTGGTTCACGTTCTGCCCCTATCAGAAAATTTGTGATTGCGGATTTTCCTCGTTCCAGGAGATCCCTGGTCAATACCTTCTAAATTCCTGATCGCTTGCGAGGAGGCCGGAACCCCCTCCCCCACCCCACCTAAGCAGGGTCAACGTGTGTTCGGGGTCGTATTGAGTAATTTCTTGGATGCCTCGCCTCATTTTGGGGGTGGGTTGCGTGGCACGGTAGTTTACAGGAAACAAATAAATCGATGCATTCTTCAATAGTCAAGACCCTTGCAGACGATAGGGCGTGTGAGGAGGCGTGAGATGGATCGCAGCCAGAACAGCCTCCTCGCCATGTGTTGGACTAATGGATGACATCATCCATAGAAAGGCTGTCTTGGAAGCGCTCGAGTTCAGCTCCGTCAGACGCCCTATCGTTTGCAGGGATTATTAGTGTATGGCAATCTTTTATTGTTAGCACGTTGTTCTGGTTGAATAACATAATGAAAAATGCTGATGGAATATCTCAATATTGTAATTAAGGGAGTATTCAAAGGAGTATCGAACATTTCTCAAGAAGCCATAGAAGAACGGATACTCCCTGAAGGAAAGAAAACCGTGAGCACACTAGTTTTTTTTTGAAACGTTCGATTCGGGTCTATGTAGGAAGGTAAGCAATAAATTGGAATATATTCCTATTCCAGGAAGTTCTTAAGTCCATCAATTACGACTCGCAGTCATGATACCTGCACGACGGGGCGTGTGACACGGCGCAAATTGGAGCGCAGCCAGGACAGCTTTTTTCCACCAATGATGCCATCCTGAGTTCGCAGCAATTGGCGGGAAAGAGTGCCCTGACTGCGCAGCAACTCACGCCCCTTCATACGCCCTCTTGTTTGCAGTGGTCATGACTATACCTCACTGCTATCGCTCAGCGCTTCCGAATGCACGACAAACTCAATGGTCTAACTTACACACGTGGCTTGCGCAACATATTCCCTTGATCCCGCTTGAATATTGTAAAAGTTACTTTTTGGTTAGTTTTTCTACTTTCAGGTCAAACCTTCAAGCAGTAGACAGACTGGCTCAGTGAAAAGTCAACTAGAAAAGATACGTGATTCCACTCGTCAGCTGAGGGTCTCCAGAGACGATCTTATGCGTTTGGGTGTAGATTGTGAAGCAACACTTGATTCCGCCGATCAGATGATGCATCGAGCCAGTGAATGGGTACGTCTGACAGTCGAAAAACAACATCGATCAACAGCCTTTTAATGATAGCTTCGTTTCGGCACTAGCCGGCTTAGGGAGGGGGCCTTTTGCACACCCTGCTTAATCCTTTTGCTGGTTCATTTTGACT